GGAACGTATAACCTAAAATAGTGGAGAAAAGAACAAGGCAGACAAAATGTAAGTTGGACAGTTGTAGTGCAATGACCACAGACGTATAGTTAGTGGGTGCTATTTATTTATTTGTATTCCATTTTTTCTAAGGATCGAGAGCCAGAATGGCTCACCACTCTAAAAGCAATACAATTTAAATTCTATACAACATCACTTTTAAAAGAGAAGTAAACATACAGTTATTAAAACAAATCTGTGGAAATCACATTAAAACATAAACAGAAGACCAGGGATGGGCAAAGTTCGAGCCTCTAGGCATTTTGTACTACAACTCCCACAATTACTAACAGCTGATAGTCCAAAACACCTGGAGGGCCAAAGTATTGGGGATAATGGATCATGACCTGTTGGGATCACAACCTAATCTGAGAGTAGCAGAGTATTTGGTAATAGATGATCGCTGGGCATGTAAATATATTTTGTTTCTGTTTATATAATCCCACATGATTGCTCAAAGTTCTGTCATTGGAGTATACACCCCCCCCCCCCCCCCCCCCCCCCCCCCCCCAATGGGAAAGCTTACTTCTACAACTCCTGCTGGAATGAGCCCTTCTCCGTAAATTATCTGCTTCCCTCTTTTATCTCACCCAACTTTTTAATTAGTTTTAATCAGTTTGTCCTCTTAATTACTACATGTTGCCCGCCCATTATTTTTGTGCCTGTGCATATTCTTTATTTTTGATATTATGTATTCATGTGTTTTGTTTAACTATGATGTTATTGTTTATTGTTCACATTTTTGGTTTGTGTTTTTGGTTTTCTTTATTGTAATTGTCATTTGGGCTTGGCCTCATGTAAGCCGCTCCGAGTCCCCATTGGGGAGATGGTGGCGGGGTAACAAATAAAGTTTATTATTATTATTATTATTATTATTATTATTATTATTATTGATGCGTTCAGCCAACATGCATATGCTGCCCAATTTAGAATAAAACTAAAGAGATCAGGGAAAATACACAGACCAGTTAGATATGATCTCACTAACATTCCTAGCGAATATACAGTGGAAGTGAAGAACAGATTTGAGGGACTAGATTTAGTAAACAGAGTCCCAGAAGAACTATGGACAGAAGTCCGAGACATTGTTCAGGAGGCGGCAACAAAGTACGTCCCAAAGAAAAAGAAAACCAAGAAGGCAAAATGGTTGTCTGCTGAGACACTGGAAGTAGCCCAAGAAAGGAGGAAAGCAAAAGGAAACAGGGATAAAGGGGAGATATGCCCAGTTAAATGCGCAATTCCAGAGGTTAGCCAGAAGAGATAAGGAACTATTTTTAAATAAGCAATGCATGGAAGTGGAAGAAGACAACAGAAGAGGAAGGACAAGAGACCTCTTCCAGAAAATTAGAAACATTGGAGGTAAATTTCAGGCAAAAATTGGTATGATAAGAAACAAAGATGGCAGGGACCTAACAGAAGCTGAAGAGATCAAGAGAAGGTGGCGAGACTATACAGAAGATCTGTATAGGAAGGATAATAATATTGAGGATAGTTTGACGGTGTGGTGAATGAATTAGAACCAGACATCCTGAGGAGTGAGGTTGAATGGGCCTTAAGAAGCATTGCTAACAACAAGGCAGCAGGAGACGACGGGATCCCAGCTGAACTGTTTAAAATCTTGAAAGATGATGCTGTCAAGGTGATGCATGCCATATGCCAGTATATATGGAAAACACAAGAATGGCCATCAGACTGGAAAAAATCAACTTATATCCCCATACCAAAAAAGGGAAATGCGAAAGACTGCTCAAACTTCCGTACAGTGGCCCTTATTTCTCATGCCAGTAAGGTAATGCTCAAGATCCTGCAAGGAAGACTCCAGCAATACATGGAGCGAGAGTTGCCAGATGTTCAAGCTGGGTTTAGAAAAGGCAGAGGAACGAGAGACCAGATTGCCAATATCCGCTGGATAATGGAGAAAGGCAGGAAGTTTCAGAAAAACATCTACTTCTGCTTCATTGACTATTCTAAAGCCTTTGACTGTGTGGATCATAATAAACTGTGGCAAGTTCTTGGTGGGATGGGCATCCCAAGCCACCTTGTCTCTCTCCTGAGGAATCTGTACAAGGACCAAGTAGCAACAGTCAGAACTGACCACGGAACAACAGACTGGTTCAAGATTGGGAAAGGCGTACGGCAAGGCTGCATCCTCTCACCCCACCTTTTTAACTTGTATGCAGAACACATCATGCGATGTGCGGGGCTGGATGAATGCAAAGCTGGGGTGAAAATTGCTGGAAGAAACATTAACAACCTCAGATATGCAGATGACACCACTCTGATGGCCGAAAGCGAGGAGGAGCTGAGGAGCCTTCTAATCAAGGTGAAAGAAGAAAGTGCAAAAGCTGGGTTGCAGCTAAACATAAAAAAACCAAGATTATGGCAACAAGAATGATTGACAACTGGAAAATAGAGGGAGAAAACGTGGAGGCCGTGACAGACTTTGTATTTCTAGGTGCAAAGATTACTGCAGATGCAGACTGTGGCCAGGAAATCAGACGACGCTTACTTCTTGGGAGGAGAGCAATGTCCAATCTCGATAAAATATAAAGAGTAGAGACATCAGACTGGCAACAAAGATCCGCCTAGTCAAAGCCATGGTATTCCCTGTAGTAACCTACGGATGTGAGAGCTGGACCTTAGGGAAGGCTGAGCGAAGGAAGATCGATGCTTTTGAGCTGTGGTGTTGGAGGAAAGTGCTGAGAGTGCCTTGGACTGCGAGAAGATCCAACCAGTCCATCCTCCAGAAAATAAAGCCCGACTGCTCACTGGAGGGAAAGATACTAGAGACAAAGTTGAAGTACTTTGGCCACATCATGAGGAGACAGGAAAGCCTAGAGAAGACAATTATGCTGGGGAAAGTGGAAGGCAACAGGAAGGGGCCGACCAAGGGCAAGATGGATGGATGGCATCCTTGAAGTGACTGGACTGACCTTGAGGGAGCTGGGGGTGGTAACGGCCGACAGGGAGCTCTGGCGTGGGCTGGTCCATGAGGTCACGAAGAGTCGGAGACGACTGAACGAATGAACAACAACAAGTGGGTTTAAGTTTTCCCCCCAGTAAATTACAGTCTTTTAACGCCATGAGTCTTTTCCTATTAGACATGCTCACAAAAATGGAAACATTCATTGCATTTATCATCTGTGTTGATTGAACTGTTCAACATGACTGAAAATGTGGAGTTTTGTCCCCACACGTACAATCAGATACCCTGGCCATTTCAAACAAGACTTTTAGGTATGACTTGAATAGGAATTGCTCAAAGGAGGAGACATAGTGTGTGATAGTTTCTGTTAGGCACATTAGGAAACTCCAGAGCCTTTCCATACTATGTAATTATAGTATTATATGTGCCTTTAATAGCTATGAATGCATCCCATGGAATCTGGGGATGACTAATACTCCATCCTCCATGTAGCTGTAGGTTAAAACCCAAGTATAAGAGAAACCTTATGTGGACTACAACTCCCAGAGATCCTAGGTTTTTTTGTTATTCATAAAAGTATGTTTTCCAAGATCCCTGATCTTTATCCTTATCTCCAGACACGTCTTCTGGAGACACTATTTTAAAGAGAAATATCTCCTCTCACACAGGTTCAGGCAGAGCTTTTGTGTTTGTGTGATTAATGGTTTAATGCAGGCATGGACCAACTTCAATTTTCCCTCCAGGTGTTTTGAACTTCAACTGCCACAATTCCTAACAGCTGAAGACAAAAACACTTGGAGGGCTAATGTTTGCCCATGCTTGGTTTAACAGGAAGCCTTTATTTTGAGTTCTTTCTAAAACTAAATTGGAAATAGGCACTGTTTTTGTTCCTGCTGTTGCAGACAAGAGAGCCATGCAAAATCAAATCCATTTTCAATTATATTTGTAGTTAGAGCAGCGATAAAAAAAACTTTCAATTGCAACATTTTCCAGAAAACTCTAGCAGATCTTCATTCATTTTCACTATGAGACTGGATAGAAAATTATAGAGTGAAGCTTCGGTGAACAGATGCTCTTCTCTTTGCTGTTTCTGCTTATAGTAACAACAGCTGTCAGGGCTCTGATTAGGAACAGATCCATAAAGTTTAGGAAGTCATAAATAATAAAGGTTAGGGGAGATGAGTAGCATTTTTTAAATTTTGATGCATTGGAACAGCATGCACCTGCAAGTTAGTGGCTATTTTTTATATAAAGGATCCTATATGACTTATGAATATGTCTGCAGTTTATGTCTGTGCTTTAATGGATTGGAAACAGAGCACACAGAACACACATTGGAATGCATAGTAAACTGAGAGCAGGAATGGTGTAATAGTTCAAAGCAGTGGACACAACAGGGGAGATGTTTAGTTGATATTTCCAAGTCGATCACACCAAATAGCCATATTCTCAGAGTCGACTGATTTAAACCATGCCGGTGATCCACCAAGGCTAAAGATAAAGAAAGAGAAATCAAAGATCTTGTGGTGTCTGAGTGTGGCAGTGGTATTTGCATAATCAATATCTATCTATTAAGCTGGCTAAAATGTATTGGGATATCATACTCTGTTGCAGTCTTCATAATTTGGAGATGCAGAAGGGAATGGGAAAGAAAAATAGAGATTGAGAGTGTTACACTTCAGTTCAGCCGGAATAACTGGGGAAGTTAGATCACTGTGGTGGGCCTTATACTGTTTTTTTTACAGAGAATTTCCCAAGAGTCCTAATCACTGTTGAAATTGTAGTCCAAGGTCTGTTTTTTTTTTAGCAAGGCAGTGGAATAGCCCTACTGTTATCTTCCCTCCACCTGCCCAAATAATGGTGATAACTCGGAGAGAAGCTTGATAGACATCTTAAAAACGATGTTCTTGGGTAAGGACAGAATGGGCAGAGAACAAGAAGAGAAAATAACCATGGAAATGAGGTTACTTGAGATAAAGTCCTGAAAAAAGATAATCATGTATAATGAGCTAAAAGACTAACCTTCTCTTTATAGGTTGTGGCTGTTTATGGGACTCTTTCAGACTTGCTTTCTGTGGCTAGTACAAAGCTTGGAATAAAAGCAACAAGTGTCTACAATGGGAGAGGGGGACTCATTGATGACATTGCTCTTGTTAGGTAAGTTTGAACCAAATTGAGTGTTGGCAAACCAAAACTATTGTGCATAGACCAAGAGCAGCGACAAACCACTTTAGAAAGGGACTATGAAAATTCTGGTTAGGCAATAAAGAACTTGTACCAGAATAGACTGTTACTTTGTGGTGAGTGACCACAGGCTGCTTTCAAGTGATAGAAATACCAAACCATGCTTTGGCGTGGGCTTCTTTTATCTCAGTTTCTTCTCCATCTGCAGTAACTGCAGCAATCATGGTTTGCTCATATACATATTTAATGTTAATTCTTGTTGCTTGACATGAAGAGGATGTTGGGCGAGTGGGCTTATTAACAAAAGACCCTCCTCATAAATGTACAGCACAATAAATTATTAGCAGAAGTGTGACCCAGCACCAGTAGCCCAAAGTAATAAAAAGAATAAAAACACATAGATCAGTGTTATCTTTTCCATAGGAGGCTTTTCTTTATAGCAAAATAATATGGTTGCACTATTTACCAAAACATATACTTCTTTATACTTCCTTGTTGCTTCCTCACTGGCCTTATGTCTCATGCAGATAAATAGTTTCGCTCTCAGAAAGTCTCTTCTCACACCGAAGTTACACAGGAGCTTCACACAGTAGCTTTTTACACACAGCAACCTCCACACACAATGGTCTTCAACCTGGGGCTTCCTCTCAACAAAGCTTCTGACACCAGGACTTCTCATACTAAGGCCTACCTCACACAAGTCTTTCTCCCACTGAGGCATATTCACATTTATTTCTTTAAAGCCTCTCTAAGACTGAGACCTTCTCCCACTGAGGTGAACTACCACTGAGGCCTTCTCATATTGAGACCTACCAACACACTGAGACCTCTCTCACTGAGGTCTTTCGCCCACAGATTGAGGGCTACTAAGTTACAGGTACACCTGCTTATGTTTGGGTTTTTTTTTGTTTGGTTTTTTTTTTGTCGTGTCAGGAGTGACTTGAAAAACTGCAAGTCGCTTCTGGTGTGAGAGAATTGGCCGTCTGCAAGGACTTTGCCCAGGGGACGCCCGGATGATTTGATGTTTTATCATCCTTGTGGGAGGCTTCTCTCATGTCCCCGCATGAGGAGCTGGAGCTGATAGAGGGAGCTCATCCACCTCTCCCCAGATTCGAACCTGTAACCTGTCGGTCTTCAGTCCTGCCGGCACAGGGGTTTAACCCACTGCGCCACCGGGGGCTCCATACCTGCTTATGTTGAACTGCAGCTTTTGCTGAGTCATTGTGTCAATTTAACCCTTTCAGTGCTTGATTCACATATTTGTAATTAAAAATGCCTAGTTAATTTTTAATATTCAAATCAAATCATTTATTTTGGTTATTGTCCAGCACAGGAAATAGAGTCACATTTTCATACAAACTTGGTATGTTTGGTACATTAAAAATATAAATATAAGTACTGAAGCACAATATTTCTGACAGAGGAAGCACTGACATATCAAGCACATTACTGATTGTCCAGCGATGCATAATATATTGTATGTAATATATACCTTGTAAGCCGCTCTGAGTCCCCTTTGGGGTTAGAAGGGTGGCATACAAATGTCATAAATAAATAAATATTTTAACTGATATTTGCAGGGACAGTGGCTTCATGTGTTTTCATGTGAAATGACAACTATTTTTGGTTTCCAACCCAATGATGGGAGAGCTGGTTGTCTAGTCTGTATTTGGATTCGTGTAGAGGTTCTGTGAAGTATTCTGTTCACACCTTTGAAGCTGAATGAATCTGAGGGAAACATATCTCAAACGGGTCCTCCTGACTTGCATTTGCATCTTAAAAGCTGGATCTAACTTGAACCGCTTAGAGTCGCCTTTTTTGGCTGATATATGCGGTATACAAAAGGAGTAAATAAATAAATAAATAAACCTTTCCAGTATTTTCTTCCCATGTTCTGGTTAGTTACAGACAGAACTAAGGAAAAGCCTGGGTCTAACACTAACCTGGTGTTTACTAATGAGTCTTGCCTAACCTGGATTACAAACCAATTCAAGGATTTCTCCTTGAATAAATTTCCACAGAAAGTATCTAACCTGTCATTCTCGGTACAAGGAAACCGATTCTGTCTTTCTTTCCAATACAGGGATGATGATGTCCTTTTTGTATGTGAAGGGGAACCCTTTATAGGTAAGCCCCCAGAGACATTTGTTTCATATGCCTAAGTTGAAAAAAGGTACACTTTCACTTTATTATTATGGCTATTCATTGGAATAAAGTTCACCATGTAGTACAATCTTGTTTTATTAAATGTAACTTGCAATAGAAACATAATATTTTATCATATGTACATAATGTTGATTATAAACAATTGAAATGCGTAGAAAATGATACAGTATATCATTTCAAAAATGGTTATAGTATCCTAATATAATTTATTTGTTGTATTAGTTTTTGTACTCAGTAGTGAAACATTTGTATACAACTAAATTGTAACATTTTCTTTTTTTTGTCATGAAAAATAAGTTGCCAAACATTTACAATGGCTTTAAAACTGTTTACGCATCTACATGTCTGCAGATCTCCAGACTGATGTAAACACTCCAGATGCATTAACAGGCTCTCATTCAGACTGGATCACGCTCAATGTTGGGGGACGGTATTTCACAACTACTCGGTAAGAACATGCCAAATGATTCTTAAGTTTACACTTGAGTGAAACAGAATTATTTTGTTTTTTTCAAAGCATTTCAATATTGTTTGCACTGAAATAGCATACAGAATCTCTGCTAACATTCCAGAAAACCAGACTGTCCCTATAAAATGCAGACTGACCATTCAGAGCTGCATTTATTTATTTATTTATTTCGAGTACTTCTACCCTGCCCTTCTCAACCACCGAGGAGGGACTCAGGACGGCTTACAAAAAGGCACAATTTGATGCCTGCACAAAATACACATATGTACAAAACACAGTTAAAACAATTATCACAGTTAAAACAGTCGGTATATCACACTATCAATAAAATTAATCTCATGCTCAGTGTTCGTCTTTCAGAGTTCCATAATTCCATTCCACTTAGTCAGTTCCTGTCCATCGTCAAAGTCCTTTCTTTATCTGCCAGATTGTCCAAATGCCTGGTCCCAAATCCATGTTTTCAATTTTTTCCTAAAGGAAAGGAGGTATGTCGCCGATCTAATTTCCCCAGGGAGTGAATTCCACAGGTGGGGGGCCACCACCGAGAAGGCCCTGCTCCTTGTCTCCGCCAATCTCACTTGTGATAGAGGCGGGGCCGAGAGCAGGGCCTCCTCAGAAGATCTTAGACTCCGAGGTGGGACGGACAGATAGACTGAGCCGGAACCATATAGGGTTTTGTAGGTCAAAACCAGCACTTTGAATTGTGCTCAGAATTGGATCGGCAGCCAGTGGAGCTGAGACAACAGGGGGGTGGTGTGCTCCCTGTATGACACTCCTGTAAGTACTCTGTCTGCCTCCCGCTGGACTAGTTGGAGTTTCCGAACAGTCTTCAAAGGCAACCCCACGTAGAGTGCGTTGCAGTAATCTAATCGGGATGTAACAAGAGCATTGACCACGGTGGCCACCGTGGCTGCACTCTTTTCATTCTCATCCTTTCCAGCAAAATCTCATTATTTATTTACTCTATTTATATCCCGCCTTCCTCTACCCCAAAGAGGACTCAAGGCGGGATATAATATTTTAAAAATATTATTCTTCCATATTATTTTGCCACTAGACCTTTACCATGCAAAAAAAAAAACCAAAAAAAAAAAAACAACAGACAAATAGAGAAATCTGGTCTGCAAACAAAAGTAGACACGATAATGTACCTATCTTGCCATTACATGTTCTAGAACAAAATCAAAGTCTTCATTTTACTCTTGCTTTCTGTGTTTCTTTCCTAGGAGCACATTAGTTAGTAAGGAACCGGACAGCATGCTGTCTCGTATGTTTAAAGATAAAGGTCAGTATGTACTGAAATTATTCTAAGTGTGTCTGTGTCAATGTGCTTTTTAAAAGGGAAGCAATTCTCAGAGTTAATAGACTATAATGGCAGGCGTATTGAACAATTCTTATGGAAAGGAGGATGAATAATATTGATACTATCCTAGTGGACCAAGTTTGACAATGACCGTTTAAGTCTAGTTAGTTCTATTTAAGTCTAATTTATTCAAGAGCTATATTTTATATCCTGCATAGATTTTAATTGTTTAGTATTACGAGTGATGCCTGACAGTTGCCAGAGTTGTTTCTCTGTTTTTAATTTATATGAAAATGTTTTTAAAATGTTTTGAATGTGATTGATTTTATGGCATTGAATGTTTGCCATGCTTTTGTGTTATTTTGGAAGCTGCCCTGAGTCTCTTCGGGGAGAGAGGTGCGGGTCAGAAATAATTTTTATTACTATTATTATTATTATTTGAAACACAATAAGATGAGTACACAGCAAACAAGATCTCTACGCTGGCTGTTGTATTGGATCACACGTCGGACACTTCCCAAGTGTCTAGGATTGTGTGATGTATCAGCGAATAATGTGTGCAGATCCCAGTAGGGTGGCCTTTTGCAGGTGACAGATGGCAATTTTGTCAGCACTGATTGTGTTTAGATGCAGGCCAAGGTGTTTAGGCACTGCACCCAGTGTGCTGACCACCACTGGAACCACCTTTACTGGCTTGTGCTAGAGTAGTGGTTCTCAACCTGTGGGTCTCCAGGTGTTTTGGCCTACAACTCCCAGAAATCCCAGCCAGTCCACCAGCTGTTAGGCTTTCTGGGAGTTGAAGGCCAAAACATCTGGGGACCCACAGGTTGAGAACCACTGTGCTAGAGTCTTTGCATTATTATTATTATTATTATTATTATTATTATTATTATTATTTGAGTAGTGCCATTACTTGATAAACTGATTAGCACTAATTGTAACAGACAGATTTATCAGCCAAACTTAATTGCCATGATAGCCTGTATTTTCAGAGGCACCAGGTCTTTTAGCACTCCAAATATTTGTGCTCCCCATCTTCAGGGTATAAAATTGGAATGCAGTTGTTCTCAGTTTTGCAATTTTTTAAATTCTCAAAACAGCTCTGTAAGATTTGCTTCCTATCTCTGAATATTTAGCGCATATTAGCAATCTGCTGAGCAACTGGTTAGTTTTATTTTCTTTGATCTGATTTGCAAATCTGAGACTTGCTGTGGCATATGTGTAATTATTTAAGCAATGGATAAGACTCAGTGCTTTTGCAGCATTATGGAAAGTCTGCATTGTCACCTGTACCCTTTCAGTTGTTTATCTGTGCTTTAATGCTTTATTTTTATTTATCTTTGACTTAAAATTTCCCTATTGCACTCAGCATGGGTTAAATAATTTAGAATAGCTTAATGTTGGCTTACCACAGTACATAAACCTCATTATGACAGCTCTTTTTAAAAAATGCATCTATTTTTTGTGTGTGACCTTTCTTTTTGGAAACAGATGCCTGGGGAAACAAACGGGATCACAGAGGAGCCTTCCTGGTTGACCGTAGTCCTGAGTACTTTGAGCCAATTTTGAACTATTTGCGACATGGACAGCTCATTGTTAATGAAGGCATCAATTTGCTGGGTATGTACGATTGTAATAATGATAATAAAACTTGCTTTAGATTTATATTCTTATAGTCATTGTAAACAAACTTAAAAAAATCATTACTTTACTCTTAATACCAAAATACATGAATAGTCATAAAATCCTAGGGAGGAGGGATCAAGCTTCCTTTCTGCTTCCCTGGAGACTAGGACGCAATGGAACAATAGCTTCAAACTACAGGAAAGGAGATTCCACCTGAACATTAGGAAGAATTTCCTGACTGTGAGAGCTGTTCAGCAGTGGAACTCTCTGCTCCGGAGTGTGGTGGAGGCTCCTTCTTTGGAGGCTTTTAAGCAGAGGCTGGATGGCCATCTGTCAGGGGTGATTTAAATTAAATTTTCCTGCTTCTTGGTGGGGGGTTGGACTGGAAGACCCTCAAGGTCTCTTCCAACTATTTACCACAACAAATATATTCAAAATAAATATTTTGAATGATGGGTCAGTTTGCTAGCACAGTATAAAAATAATTTTATTTTCTTCTTTCCATATTTTTCTTTCAACTGCTCAATTAAGGATTTTTGTTACTTGAAAAAAGACATTAAACCTGGTTAGGAAAATCCCACATTATTTGTAATATGGCTGGAGGAAAATTATGACATGGAAGAGAATTACTTCCCTGGGCTGAAATGAGCCCAGGACTTTTGCAGTCCCATTTATCAAAGGCAAAACGGATTGCCCGTAAGAGTCCGCCAACTGTAATTGGCGACCTTTACATCCCGTCCTCCTAAATTTCGTTCAGCTCTTCATGTCCCCAGTGACAAATAACAGCACTTGCACTGGAAATACACCAACCCTAAATTGGAGAGCTGTGGGACTGCTCAGCCAAGACCTAAATCTCTTTTCTCAGTCCCCAATTACATCTAATATAAACCACAAATGTCCGACAGCTTTACGAGATTGTGTGGTTCGTGCAAAGTTCTTAGAAATGGTTAGAACCATCTGTGCTCCCCAAGAGGTGACATGGAGGGGTGCAAAATGGAAACACGCTGAATTTCTGTGACTGTTGTGTCAGGCTTGGAAGCCGGCACAAACGGGATGATTTAGAGAGGTGTAGTGGTCAAAGTGCTGGGAGAATTGAATTGATGTGAGAACGAAGTGGGGTGATTTGTATCCATCTAAACTACCATGAACTCACTGAAAGAAATGTAGTAATATTATGTTACCACTAAAAGAAAGGTAACAATATAAAGCCAGGCCTCCAGATCTGCTGGGGTTAGGGGCATAGGTCCCCCATTCAGTGAAAAACTATGAATAACTGGCTAATATTTTTATCTGAGAGGACTCTTAAGAATTTCTAGGCTCTCCAGCATGATCCTATGGTGGGTTTTCCCTGGAAGCTGGCCACTGAATTACACTGGAGAAGTCAGAAATATTAAAATTAACTGGGTGTTTTTGATTACAAAAGTGTGAGTGTCAAGACCCAGAAGCCTTAAAGGAGCCCAACACACAATGCAGAATTCAAACACAGTTTTATTATTCACAAAATAGTCTTTGGAGCACTTACTTCAGTGCTAAAAGCGCAAAGAAAGAGTTGATATCAAAAACAAAGTGAAAAAAGCAACTGAAATATAACCCGGATTATCCTGGTGTATAATCCGGTTTAACTAAGGCATTCAGCAATCCGCTTTAAACTCACACAGTTCACAGAAAATACAAAAGCAAACTAGGAGCAAGCAAAAACACAGTTCTCAAAACGGTCCGAAGTCGTAGCACGATGCAAGCAGGTAAACAAAGAGGCAAAAAGCGCGTTGTCCCAAAGCGGTCCGGAGTCAAGCCGTAGAGTAGAAGTTGTAGTTTGCAGAGTCACAAGAAGTAAGCACAGGAACGCAGGAACACAGGAATCTGTAGTCCAAGGACCCAAGCTCAAGAATTGGCAGTAACAAAGATTCACACCCCAAAAGTCATGCAAACAGTACTCACTTTTATCCTAAAGTTCCTCATCAGAAGATGAGGAGCTCCCCACCCTTTCATCATGGCTCTCAGCTGCCCCATTCCCTGCAGCTGAACCCGAGCACCCATCCCTCCACCTCTGCCAGCGTCTGTCAAGAGTTAGATCTTGCCAAGTGCTCCCCGGTTGCCATTCCTCCGTAAACCCCTCAAAGTCATCACTGGAGGTGGGTTGGCTACAGATATCCCTAATCTCCTATACACGGGTCCAATCGATCCCATCCTCTTCCCCCATGTCACTCCCAGACCCATCACTCCTTTCAAAGCCCATGAAATCTTCGTCCTCTGTAGGAGCGGTAAGTATATCACGGATACGTTTCCTTTGGGCTTCCTCATCAGACTCTGAGTCGCGAGTAACCCGCTTGACTCCCCTGCATTCCTCCCCGTCCCCCATCTCACAATCGGAGAAACCTTCAAAGATTTCAGAATCACTTGGGGCCATGATTATCTCCCTAATCCGCTTTCGCTGCTGCTCCTCTTCCAACACCTGCGCAGCCCGCTTCTCCCTCCTACCAGTAGTAGCACCGTTACCATCACGCTGAACTACAACAGTGAGTCAAGCACTAAAAGAGTTAGAAGCCGAAGCCTGTTAGAGTCAGTGGGTTAAAGCTAGTGTCGTCCTGAGGAGAGTGAGGTCAACCTCTGTGTGAGAGAAACCTCTTGTGAGAAAGCTCCAGTGTGAGTGCTGCTGTATGTAAAGCTATTATGCATTTGTTTATTTGTGTTATGGAAACGTTGTTGTAAATAGTGCAACCATATTATTTCTCAGCCCGCAGGCGACTTAAGGCGGTTTGCAGAGGCAACAATTCAATGCCCAACAACACCATTAAAACATTTAAAACATTTAAAAACATTAACATATAATATAAAACCATAACAAGATCAATAAGACATAAATCATTTGCATCTCCGAGTTAAAACGTTGTCCAATCTCATCATCCAGTTGTTCCATGTTCCTGTGTCTGTTACACTGCATTTTCAAACGCTTGCTCAAAAAGCCAAGTTTTGATTTTTTTTTTCCGGAATGTTAAAAGGGAGGGGGCCTATCTAATGTCTTTAGGAAGGGTGTTCCATAGCCGAGGGGCCACCACTGAGAAGGCCCTGTCTCGTCCCTGTCAAACGTATTTGTGACACAGGCGGGATCAAGAACAGGGCCTTCCCAAACGATCTTAACGTCCTAGATGGTTCATAAGCGAATATAACATTGGTCTGTGTGTTTTTGTTCTTTTTATCATTTTTGGCTACTGGTGCTGAGTCAGACTGCTGCTGATAAGTTACTCTGCTGTACATTTATGAGGAGGATCTTTTGTTTATAAGACCACTTGCCCAATTCCTATAGAACACCTCTAGGCCGCTCAGCATGATGATCAGAAGTTGACTATAGAACTGTACTGAAGGTTCTAGGGATTCCTACAGAGAAAATTTTAATCAAATCCGTTAACAATTAAATCCGCAAAAATCAAACCAGCAAATGTGGAAGGCAGACTCTAATATTAATTTTGGTGAAAATTAATCAGGCTTAAGGATTTCTGTGTTGGTCCCACACTCGTCCAGCCCTTGCACTCTGATCCGGTTAATTTCATCCACAGTTATATATTGATGATTTTAAGTAGTTATTTCTACTTTGCATTGTTCTATCTATAAATATTTCTAAATAGTGTATCTACTCAGAATTGCCTTGGTGTCAGTGTACTGCCCTCCACACACCCCTGCTTTCATCATTTCTTTTCCCCCTTTCTTCCTTCTATACTTCTTTTGTTTTCGTCCCCTTCTCCTTTTCTTTCTTTTTCTCCTTCCTTCCTTCCTTCCTTCCTTCCTTCCTTCCTTCCTTCCTTCCTTCCTTCCTTCCTTCTTCCTTTCCTTCACTTCCCAATGATGAATATGCTGTGCTGAAAAGAAAACATGATTCTGGAATAGTTTCTGAAAACCATGGTTAAGGAATCAGGTTGCTGATCATGTGTGAAGATTAATGGTTTGTCCTACTTCTAGTGATTCTAATCATTATTTTAGATTATTACTATATTTCAAATATCTTTGGTTGCATTTTAGGGGTTCTAGAAGAAGCCAGATTCTTTGGGATTGACTCTCTAATTGAACACGTTGAAGTAGCCATTAAGGTAATTATAATTTTTGTGTCAACCTGATTTCTTCAGTGATGTCAACCCAAACATTTTATACTTTTCTGTGAATTCATGCTGTTTATATTTTTATCTATCTGTTTGTCTATCTATGCGGTAACTTGTGATTGGCAAGATAATAAAGCTAACACGAGTCAAACTGGGCAGTTTTACATTTATTGTGAACTCCTTTCCAACTCTGTATAATAAAATCTTTAAAATTTCAAAAGCTAAATCTTAATAAAATTAATCTAAAAATAAAATGTGCCATTTTTTCTTAAAATACAAATGATATTAGGAAGCTCATGCTATTGAGTCTCAGTCCCACTAATACAGGGGTCCTCAACCTTCCTAATGCCGCGACCCCTTAGTACAGTTGCTCATGTTGTGGTGACCCCCAACCATAACATTTTCGTTGCTACTTTGTAACTGTAATTTTGCTACTGTTATGAATCGTAATGTAAATATCTGATATGCAGATATTTTCAAATCCCAAATACCCAATATGCCCAAATTTGAATACTGGTGGGGTTGGGAGGGTTGATTTTGTCATTTGGGAGCTATAGTGGCTGGGATTTATAGTTCACCTACAATCAAAGAGCATTCTGAACACCACCAATGATGAAATTGAACCAAACTTGGCACACAAAACTTTCATGGCCAAGAGAAAATACTGGATCTGGTGGACATTGACCTTGAATTTTTGGAGTTGTAGTTCACCTACATCCAGAGAGCACTGTGGACTCAAACAATGATGGATCTGGACCAAACTTGGCACGAATACTCAATATGCTGAAATGTGAACACTGGAGGAGTTTGAGAAAAATAGACCTTGACATTTGGGAGTTGTAGTTGCTGGGATTTATAGTTCACCTACAATGAAATAACATTCTGAACCCCACCAATGATAGAATTGGACCAAACTTCCCACACAGAATCCCATGACCAACAGAAAATACTATGTTTTCTGATGGTCTTTGGCGACCCCTCTGACACCCCCCTCGCGACCCCCACAGGGGTCCCGACCCCCAGGTTGAGAAACACTGCACTAATACAAGGATAATATAACAATTTTCTATGAATATCAGGAAAACCATCAATTCAGTTTTTCCCCAGAGTCAGGTTGCTAAAGATAGAAATACCCGCACTGATTCACTTTTGCCTGTTTTGCTTTCTCATTAGAATTCACAACCAGCTGAAGACCATTCTCCTATTTCTCGAAAGGAATTTGTCAGGTTCCTACTTGCAACCTCAACGAAGTCTGAACTTCGGTGTCAGGTATTCAGAGAGAATATTGCACGCATGTGTGTGTGTGTTTTTTTTCAATGTTCTATACATTGTTCTGTAACCCAACCCTATCCTAACACTGCAGCCTCCATTCTCATACTATAAGGTACAAACACTTCAATTCAATGTATTACAATACTCAACACACTAAAGATCAAAATACTGTGATATGTCTAATTGTTAGAGGGGATACTTAATGGCAAACAAAAATATTTCACAGTTTCCTGTCGTAGTCACTGTGAATCGTACATTTGGTATTTACACGCATGCGTGGAACAGCTTTCGTAACCTTCTAGAAAGTAAAATAACAATTTAGACCCCAGCTAGGCCCGCCCACCCTCTCCCCGAGTATAAGTAGCCCGTGGGCGGGGCTAGCCAGCAGTTCTCTTTTCCGCGCTCCTGTTGGCAGCTTGAGAACCTTCTTTCTCCGTGCGAGCTTCTCTCTTGTTTTATTGGACTTTGATCTGGACTGGTTTGACTAAGGTATTGGATTGTGATTTGGACCCCGTTTGCCGTCGATTGACCCGGACTGTTTGACTTGGCTCCCTCTCGAGGCTTCGCCTGCTTGGTACTACTAGACTATGGCGACTACCTCGTTTAAACGGTGCTCCAGCTGCCCCAACTTGTATCTGAACACGGACGGGCACTCAATGTGCTTGGCCTGCCTTGGGGAGGGGCACCTCACTCAGGCTTGTTCGATCTGCATGGCCTTCACGCCACAAACTAGAAAAAGCCGCGAGCTTAGGCTCAAAGCCGCCCTCTACGAGAGGGCCCTGCTCCCGCCTACGCCATCGGCGCAGCAGACACCCTCAGTGATAAATACCTTGCCGTTCCTGGAAAGGGCTGGAGATTTGGCCAAAAAGAAGGCTAAAAGGCCGAAAGATAAGGCCTCTCAAGATGGCCGCGGTCCAACGATGGGAAAAAGAGCGGCTTCGAAAAAGGCGGGAAGCGCCTCTTCTTCTTCGGCCGCCCCAGCTCCGCCCCCCGTAATGGCGGAGCAACAAGAACAACCAGATCGGCCTTTGGCAGCACCTACCTTGTGCCTGGAGACGGCGGATGCTACTCCCGTCAGGGTCTCCTTCTCGAGACCGGAGAGCCTGCCTCCAGAGACCTTGCTGACTCCGGCGATGCTGATACTGTCTCCCCCCGGGCCCGAGGGAGGACGGGAGGCGGCGCTGAGACAAGGAAGGCCGCCCTCCGTAGTTCCGCCCATAACTCCTCCCATGGAGTCTATCCCTTCTGGAAGCGGCGCATTCGGGGGGATCTTCAATGGCCCACCCACTCTCGCTGTCGATGCGAGTTTGACAGTGTCCTCCCCGAGGCCGGCGATCCCGGAGCTTCCTCGGGCCCCGGGAGAGGAACCAGCTGATTATTCGGCGGGCATGCCGGGCCCGGCCGGGCCCTCGGCAGCGGCTGCATTGGGTGACCAGCAACGAGAGGGCCGGGGATCCCGCCGCCCCAGCAAGCGCCCCAGGCGCTCTAGATCTCCATCGCGGAGGAGTAGGGGCTCCCGACGCCGCCGGTACCGAGCCTCGCCGAGAAGCGACAGACGCTCCAGGTCAACCTCCTCCTCTTCTTCGACTTCATCCTCCTCCTCCTCCTCGTCACTCCCCTCGAGGCGCCGGAGGCGCTCCCATCGGTCCCGGAGGGGACTTGAGCCAGCGTCTACGGCCCCGCAGGGCTTCTGGCAAATGGCCCCGTCGGGCCAACTCATCTTTGTGCCGGCCCCGGTTCCGTTTTCGGTGGCAGCAGCCCCCCCGCCCCCTCCCCTTCCGAGCTCGGGGCGAGGAGGGATTGGCCTCCAGATGGTGCCGTCGCCCGCGAGGCCCCAACCTCCACAGGCCTCTCCAGCGGGCCTTCTCTTGGCCGGGGTGGGCGAGGCTGCCCCAGGTGTTGATAGACTGCCCATCGCGGGCCGCCAGCCGCCTTCCTCCAACGCACCACTGGGTGCGATAAGCGGCTCTGACTTACCTCTATGCAACTCTCCTGCTACAGTGGCCCCAGCCACCTCGGGCCTAGCCCGCACAGCGGAACTGGACATTACTATGGCCACTCCTTTGAGGGCTACACCAGTGGAAGTGCCAGGGGCTACGGCCCAGGACGATAATGAGCCACGGGACAGTGACTCCGGCTCAGAACCACCTGATGTGACTCAGAACTTGGGGGGTGAGGATGCTTCTGTCATTCTACCTGCTGATTTTAATAAGTTTGCAGCGTTGGTGGAAAGGATGATAAGGGCCCTGGATATTCCTGCCCCTAAACCCCCGGAACATGTCGAAGACCCGATGTTCCCATCGGATGAACAAAATGTGGTCTCCTCTTCTGCCCTCCCAGTGTTGCCTTACCTTTTAAAACTAGCCAAAGTCGTCGATATGGCCCCTTTGGCGGTGCCGGCCTTTCCGAGGCGGCTAGATTCATTGTATAAAATTGATATGTCTACAGCCAAGTGGGCGCTGACGCCACCTAAGGCCAACACTGTGGTGGCCGAAGTCACTAAATCCAAACGGCCCAAGAACTCGGTGACAACCCCCCCAGACAGGGAGGGCAGGAAGTTAGACACGATGGGGAAAAAAGCGTACTTTGCAGCTAGTTTATTCACGCGTATGGCTCATTATGCGACGTATATGAGCGGTTACCAATCATTTTTGTGGAACTGAATGTTGCAGCATATTGAGTCCATGCCGCTGGAGGAGCAGCGCCTCCCCAAGGCACTGCAAGGAGAGGCCCTGGCATTATCGAAACTACAGAAAGACTTTGCCAAACATATGGCAGAGGCAGCAGGCAACCTGTTTGCCACTGCCACTTCCATACGGAGGCATGCCTGGTTACGGGCCTCTAACCTCTCCGAGGAAGGGAAGGCCTTAGCCGAAGACCTCCCCTTTCACGAGGAGGGCCTGTTCAACCCCAATACAGATGACAATTTGAAGCAGAAGCAGGACGTTAGGCAGTCAGCCTACAAATTTGGCTATACGTGGCAGCCGTATAACCAACCCAGGGCCAAATGGCAACAGTCTTCGACTCCGTATCGTAAACCCTTTAATAGCTCCTCTACAGGACCTTTTAGGAATAGATTTTCGGGGACTTCCAGATATCAAGGAGCCCGCCGAACCCCTTAATTCCAAAAGGCTAGGGCGCAACCCTTCCAAGGAAAGCCTAAGCTTTCAGGCTCCTCCAAGAAGCGCCTTTGACGCTCCCACTGCGAACTTAGGGACGGGCCCGCCCGGACCGGCACGGACCCCATTAGAAGAGTCCTGTTATCTGGCTCCCCTTCCACACTGTTCTACCACGTTGGACCCTGAGGTCCCAGTTGGGCCAACCCCCTTGTTCACAGACAGGCTTGCCCCTTTCTACCCTGCATGGGCACGCATCACGACGGATGCCTGGGTACTGTCTATAGTTTCTAATGGTTATGTTATTGAATTTCAAGACATCCCTAGAGTGGGTCAGTTGAAAGACACCGCTTCTTCCCCTCAGCTTATGGAGGAGGTAGAGATGCTGTTGCAAAAGGGTGCCATCTCGTTAGTGGACCCCTCATCGGTTCCGTTCTGTTTCTTCTCGAGATATTTTCTGATTATCAAACGTGGTGGGGGAATGCGCCCGATCCTTGATTTGAGAGCATTAAATAAACATATCAAGCCAAAGAAATTTCGGATGGTGACTCTTGCTTCCATAACCCCTCTCCTTTCCAGGGGGGTTTGGTTTGCGACCGTTGACCTTAGGGATGCGTACTTCCACATCTCTATTGCTCCACACCATCGTAGATTTCTCTCCTTTAGGGTAAATGGCCAAACGTATTGTTTTAATGTTCTACCTTTTGGCCTCTCCGCTGCCCCAAGGGTTTTCACAAAGTTCATGGCTGTAGTGGCCGCCCACCTTAGGACGAGGGGTGTGACAGTTTACCCGTATATTGATGACTGGCTGATAGTGGGCAGATCCCGTTACGTGCTTCAAAAACACGTTTCCATGGTTTTGTCTCTTCTCCAGTCGCTGGGCCTTGTACTCAACCAGGAGAAGTCGGTGCTGATGCCTTCACAACACATCCAATTCATCGGGGCTCTTCTGGACTCCATCGCCGAGAGAGCCTTTCTGCCCGAGGACCGCTTCGCCAATCTGCGTGACCTGATCAGCCTGACCATCACGGCACCCGACATGTCGGCCAGACATTTCCAAGTGCTCTTGGGGCACATGGCTTCGACCACGTCGGTCATCCGCTATTCCAGATTGCGTATGCGGCTACTCCAATCTTGGTTCCTCTCCGAGTTCAACCCGCTGATGGACAACCCAGCCGTGAGACTGTCCCCGCCATCGTGGGTCCGCTCCTCGCTCCGTTGCTGGATGGATCCGGAGTGGGCTTGTGCGGGACTGCCTTTCTACGCCCCTCGCGCCACAAGAACGGTCACCACAGACTCCTCTCTGACGGGCTGGGGGGCCCATTCTCAAGGCCTAGTGGCTCACGGCATGTGGGGAGAAGAAGAAAGCACTCTTCACATAAACGTGCTAGAGCTTCTCGCCGTCGACAGGGCCCTGAAGTCCTTCGAGAGGGTAGTCACAGGTCAGGTAGTACACGTCCTCACCGACAACACCACGGTGATGTACTACCTGAACAAACAGGGAGGCACACACTCTCGCACCCTTCTGGCCCTTTCCATACAAATATGGGAATGGTGCATAGACAGGGGATTCATCTTCTTGCGACCCATGTGCCAGGAGAATTGAACCTGTTAGCGGATTCTCTGAGTCGGAACCCGCTAACACATCACGAATGGTCCCTGAACCAGGAGGAGGTGCGGAAGCTCTTCCAAGCATGGGGGACCCCAGAGCTGGACCTCTTCGCAATTCAGTCCAACTCGAAGTGCCCTCTTTTCTGCGCACGAGCACATGCGTCGCCTCAGGGGAGGTGTCTAGGAGACGCCTTCATCCACACCTAGACGGACCACAGGACTTATGCATTCCCTCTGTTCCCGCTCCTGTTGAGGGTAGTGGCGAAGATACAGGCAGAAAACGCACATTGCATATTAGTGACCCCGTGGTGGCCAAGGCAACCATGGTTCTCGCCGTTGCGCCTGATGGCGAGGGGAGTGTTCACCCGCCTGGCGGACAGGTCAGACCTCTTAACATCGCAGGGAGGCCGGGTGTTGTACCCAGAGGTACACAGACTGAGACTCACTGCGTGGCGGATTCTCCCCAGACTAACTGCGTTTTCTGATTTATCCCACTCTGTACTCCGAATTATAGAAGCGGCCCATAGGCCGTCCACTAAGCGATCTTACCTTTATAAATGGTCGAGGTTTTCCTCCTATCCAAGGGGACGGGGAGCAAATCCAGACACTGCTCCCATCTCTCTAGTGCTAGATTTTCTTGTGTCATTGTTGGATGCATGGTTATCCTACCCATCGTTAAAATGTTACTTGGCCGCTATTTCGTGGTTTCGAAGGAAATTGGGCCTCCCTTCGTGTTTTCTAGATCCCCTTGTGAGGACTTTTTTAAGAGGACTTATGAATACTAGACCCCCAGTAGCTCCGGTGGCCCCTTCTTGGAGCTTGGAGTTGGTGCTTAGTTCGTTGATGAAGGCCCCGTTTGAGCCTTTGGCCTCGGCCAGCTTGTTTTGCTTGTCATGGAAGACGGCCTTCTTAATAGCGATAACGTCGGCCAGGAGGGCTAGCGAACTGTGCACTCTTAGGGCGGACCCACCGTACCTTAAATTTCACAAAGATAAGGCAGTTTTGAGAACTGACATAGCGTTCCTGCCTAAAGTGTCTACGAAGTTTCACATTTCCCAAGACCTGATACTGCCCTCTTTCTTCCAGAACCCCACTACTTCTCTAGAGAAAAGTTTACATTTACTTGACGTTCGTAGGGCCCTAGCCTTTTATGTAGACAGAACGGCTCCCCTTAGAAAGACTCCTAAGCTGTTTGTTAAATATCGTTCTGATGTCTTGGGCATGCCTGTCTCGTCTCAAAGACTGTCATCCTGGATCGTGTCTACAATTGAGTTATGCTATCGGGTGGCTGGCAAGGAGTTGCCCCGTCCCGTGAGAGGTCATTCAACAAGAGCTGTCGCTACGTCCGCAGCGTTTTGGAAAGGAGTTCCTCTGGATGCTATCTGCCGGGCAGCGATATGGTCTTCACCGCTTTCCTTTGTAACACACTATAAGTTGGATGTTGTATCCAGGCGTGATGCACAATTTGGCAGAGCAGTTTTATTTTCAGCTGTGGCATGACGCCCACCGTCCATGGTTAGTAGCTCGCTAATCTACCAAATGTACGATTCACAGTGACTACGACAGGAAATTATAAGTTGCTTACCTGTAACTGTAGTTTCCTGAGTAGTCACCTGTGAATTCGTACATACCCGCCCATCCTCCCCTCGAGTACATGCCACGCCTTCTGGCTGCTTTGCGGCGGAAGAGAACTGCTGGCTAGCCCCGCCCACGGGCTACTTATACTCGGGGAGAGGGTGGGCGGGCCTAGCTGGGGTCTAAATTGTTATTTTACTTTCTAGAAGGTTCCAAAAGCTGTTCCACGCATGCGTGTAAATACCAAATGTACGAATTCACAGGTGACTACTCAGGAAACTACAGTTACAGGTAAGCAACTTATAATTTGTCTCCAACAAAAATGCAGAGTTTGTTTCAGGTCCGGTTCAAACCATTGTTGTTGTTCAGATTGACATTCCAAAGCTAAGATGCTACAAAAGAGAAAGCTGTCTTCTATAGTTACAAAATAATTAATGAATTAATTAATAAATAAAGAATAATAATAAATAATAAAATTTGAATAATAAATAAATAAATAAAATCCTCTTTTTGAGGCGGAGAATTCCTTCAGAAAACTGGTTCCTCAGGCTGTGAGAGGTCTCTGTGGGAGAAGGGCCTCAGTGTGTTAGGTAGGCCTCAGCATGAAAGGCCTCAATGTTAGTTTGCCTTAGTGGGAGAAAGGTGGCAGTCTGAGACAGGCTTCAATGTGAGGCAAACCTCGGTGTGAGGTAGGCCTCAGAGTTAGCAGGCCTTGGTGTGATTATTTCTGTTTCAGAATCTTATTATGCTTTTCTTCAGGGTTTAAATTTCAGCGGGGCAGATCTCTCTCGACTCGATCTCAGATACATCAACTTCAAGATGGCAAACTTAAGCCGGTGCAACCTGGCCCATGCCAACCTCTGCTGCGCAAACCTTGAACGAGCAGACCTTTCTGGATCAGTTCTTGATGTGAGTACTTTGAAGAGACCAAAGAGCAAAGGGTTTTTTCCCTCTTTTGAGCACATGGTTTTCCTTACTGTCACATGCCAGACTATGCAGATTGAATCAACTAATTGGCTTGTTTTTAGAATGACGATTGCAAATCATGGACTATTGCTGTAGTTTGTTGGGAAAGTTATTTCACAGCTCAAGGTGGAAAATCTGCTAATTGTTTAGTCATTTGCGGGAGCAATTGCACAAAGTGCACCCTCATTCTGGGTTGCTGTGAGTTTTCTGGGCTGTCTGGCCATGTTCCAGAAGCATTCTCTCCTGACGTTTCACCCACATCTATGGCAAGCATCCTCAGAGGATGTGAGGTCTGTTGGAAACTAGAGAAGTGGAGTTTATATGTCTGTAAAATAATGTCGAAGTGGGAGAAAGAACGCTTTTCTGCTTGAGGCAAGTGTGAATGTTGCAATTGGCCACCTTGATTGGTGTTTAATGGCCTTGCAGTTTCAAAGACTGGCTGATTGCTGCCTGGGGGAAACACTTTATAACAGCAGTTCAGCAATGACAGGCTGCCATTTGAGGACTGTAGAATTTCTATCCTTGGAGACTTTTTTTTGAGGTTATCTCAGACAAAATATATTCATTGCTAGAGCTGGTTTATTATTTTATTTATCTACTAGCCATCCCCCTGCCACACATTGCTGTGGCCTATTCTGTGTATATGTATTTTGTGTGTGTATATATGTGTGTGTTTATATTTGTGTACATGTGTAAATATGTTGTTTTGCACATGCATTGTAATGATTTTTTTAGTTTTGGCTTTTTAAGTCTCTTCTGCCGTGTTTTTCAGAGTGACTAGCCGTCCCCTGCCACACGTTGCTGTGGCCCAGTCGGTGTATATGTATTTTTTGTGTGCATATGTGTGTGTATATATTTGTGTATATGTATATATGTATGTCTGCATATATACGTGTGTGTGGGTTTGCGCATGCGTTGTAATGTAATTTTTGGTTTTTGGCTTTTTAAGTCCCTTCTGTTTTGTTTTTCAGTGTTTTATGAGTGATGGTCACTAGTTGGCCTGATAGGTGTCTTGTGTCCAAATTTGGTGTCAATTCATCCAATGGTTTTAGCGTTATGTTAATCCCACAAACAAACATTACATTTTTATTTATATAAATTAGCACAGCACAATATTAGTATTATATATTAATACTAGCCGTCCCCTGCCAGGCGTTGCTGTGGCCCAGTCCGATGATCTGGAAAATAAAGTAATGAGAAAGTGCTGGTTTCTAATATATGTAATGTCTTTCTGCTTGTGGGTAAACAGTATTTCTTGCTGTTTCTTTGCCAGTGTTGATGTGGAGAGTGTCTGGTTTGCCTACTCTGGAACATGCAACATATCATTGTCCTTCTTTAGGGGTCCCTTTCAAATCTTTGATACTGCATCTGTCATATACGTGTGTGTGTGTGTGTGTGTGTGTGTGTGTGTGAATGGCTGGATGGCCCTTTGTCAGGAGGGCTTTGATTATTTTTTCTTGTCCTGGTGAAGGGAGTTGGACTGGATGGCCTTAAGGCAGCATTTTTCAACCTGGGAAGTCATGACCCTGCGGTGGGGTGTCAGAAGGGTCACCAAAGACCACCAGAAACACAGTATTTTCTGTTGGTCATGAGGGTTCTGTGTGGGAAGTTTGCCCCAATTCCGTTGGTGGGTTCAGAATGCTCCTTGATTGTAGGTGAACTGTAAATCCCAGTAACTACAACTCCCAAATGTCAAGGTCTATTTTCCCCAAACTCCATCTGTGTTCATATTTGGGCATATTGAGTATTTGTGCCAAGTTTGGTCCAGATCCATCATTGTTTGAGTCCACAGTGCTCTCTGGATGTAGGTAAACTACAACTCCCAAACTCAAGGTCAATGCCCACCAAACCCTTCTAGTATTTTCTGTTGGTCATGAGGCCTGTGTGCCAAGTTTGGTTCAATTCCATCATTGGTGGAGTTCAGAATGCTCTTTGATTGTAGGTAAACTATAAATCCCAGCAACTACAACTCCCAAATGACAAAATCATATTTTTTTGGTGTGATGGTCACTCCTTGTGTTGTGAGACATTTTGTTGGCAAATTTGGTGTGATTTCATTCGTTGATTCTTTTTGTTTTTAAGGTACTCATTATGCACAGAGCATATATATACATATATATATAGTCACATGTGTCCAAATTTGGTGTCAATTCGCCCAGTGGTTTTTGAGTTACGTTAATCCCACAAACGAACATTACATTTTTATTTATATAGATTAATTTATTTTGCTCTAATGGTACCCATTCTGAACCCGACTCTGTCTTTGCTAGTCTGCCAACCTCCAAGGGGTGAAGATGCTTTGCTCCAATGCAGAGGGAGCATCGTTGAAAGGCTGCAACTTTGAGGATCCTTCTGGCCTTAAGGCTAACCTAGAAGGTAAATGAAACCCCAACTTGACAGTCTAATTTCTTTCTATGTTGCATATACTTGATAATAAACAAATTCTGAAATGTCCTGGAGGGTTACTAAAGTTAAGACCAGCAGTTTATTGAATTAGTGGGACAATTTATGTCATTGTGTGTAGTATGATGTTTTTGTTTGATGTTTTGAATTCAGCACCCAAAATGATATTCAAAGCAGCTGCAATATTGAAAAAAAAAAGTCTTAGAATTTCACCTGAGACTGATTCTTTGTGTTAGTGAGATAGCAAACCGGTGCATTTTTAAGGAGATTTAAAATTGTATTGACCTTGAGCGAGCTGGGGGTGGTAACGGCCGACAGGGAGCTCTGGCGTGGGCTGGTCCATGAGGTCACGAAGAGTCGGAGACGACTGAACGAATGAACAACAACAACAAAATTGTATTTTCTGCTTTAGGTGCCAACCTGAAAGGTGTTGATATGGAAGGGAGTCAGATGACTGGAATTAATTTGCGAGTTGCAACTCTGAAGAACGCAAAGTTAAAAAACTGCAACCTAAGAGGAGCAACCCTTGCAGGAACTGACTTGGAGGTGAGTTACTTTCAGGTTCTGATCGGCAGCCTGAAATCAAAATGTTTGTGAATATCAAAGATTATTATTAATTATTAAACTTTATTTGTACCCCGCTACCATCTCCCGAAGGACTCGATGCGGCTTACAAAGGCCAAGGCCTCAATACACAACATAACAATACACTTAAAGCAAATTAAAAACAGTTAAAGCAGTATTAAAACAACAAAACCACAAGCAATAAACAATACATCAACAGGATAAAACTGATGCAAGAGGGTCCTAATGCACATTGTTCCTCACCAGTTATTTTGCAGATTCCCCTATAACAGCATTTATAGGGGAATGCTGTTATGGGGTTTGGGACACTGGGAGGGGGGGGGGGCGTGAGGAGGTTTCAGAGGGGTCACCAAAAACCACCAGAAAACATATATTTCTGATAGTTTTAGGAACTCCTTGGGAGGAAAAGGCTGAAGATCTCTCTGTCCTTCTCTTCCTTTTTGGAAATAGGTGGCAAATCTTCCTACCAAAAGCCCTCTTTCACTATGATTGGCTGTCCTCTCAGCCAAGGGGAGGGCTGTTTCTGAAATTCCAAGCAGGGGAGGGGAGAGCAAGTGTGTTCGGCGCATGGTAGCATGGTGCACATGTGCAGGCAAGGGAGAGCATGTGAGGATGGAGGGGGGCTCATGTAAGTGAGTCCCTTGAAGGCATGGGGGTTCTGTGTGGGAAGTTTGGCCCAATTCTATCGGTGGGGTTCGGAGTGCTCTTTGATTGTAGGTGAACTATAAATCCCAGCAACTACAACTCCCAAAGGTCTAGGTCTATTTCCCCAAACTCCACCAGTGTTCACATTTGGCCATATTGAATATTCGTGACAAGTTTGGTCCAGATGTCAAGACCCAGAAGCCTCAAGAACACCAAACACAATATAAAAGGTCCAAACACAGGTTTATTGAACTCAAAAAGGCTTTAGAGACACTTGCTTCAGTGTCTCTAGCACAAACTAAAAGTCTTTCGCAACTGCTATGTAAAAAACTCAACTCAAATATAATCCGGATTATCCCAGAGTATAATATGGGATAACAAAAATATACAGCAAACTGCTTGTAATTCAAAATGTCCAAAAGGCACCAAAAAACAATGTGGGAGCAAGCAAAATCAGAGTCCAAAGGCAGTCCATAGTCCAGGCACGTCCAAAGTAAGAAGAAGCAGTCCAAAAAGCGTAGTCGTAGTCAAAACACAGTCCATAGTCAAACAGGGAGAGTTGTAGTCAACACTTACGAAGTATCAGCCAGAAGTCACGGAAACACAAAGATCTGTAGTCCAAGGACCCAAGCTTGAGAGTAATGGCAGGAACAAAGATACACACTCGAAAAAACACTTTGCCTTCTGCAAAGACCCATTGAAACCAAACCAACTTATATCCATCAGAGGATGAACTGCTCCCCAAATCACCCTCCTCCTCAATGTCACTCCCAGTCCCATCACTCCTTTCAAAACCCATAAAATCTTCATCTTCTGTTGGAGCGCTAAGTATATCATGGATACACTTCCTTTGGAGCTCCTCATCAGATTCTTGTTCGCGAATAGCCTGCTTAACTTCCCTGCTTTCCTCTCCTTCCCCCATTTCACAGTCTGAGAAACCCTCAAAGGATTCAGAATCAGTTGGAGCCATGAATATGTCTCTAATCCACTTTCGCTGCTGCTCCTCCTCCAACACCTGCTCAGCCCTCTTCTCCCTTCTACTGGTAGTAGTAACGTTATTATCACGCTGTACTACAACACCAGATCTGTCATTGTTTGAGTCCACAGTGCTCTCTGGATGTAGGTGAACTACAACTCCAAAACTCAAGGTCAATGCCCATCAAACCCTTCCAGTATTTTCTGGTCATGGGAGTTCTTTGTGCCAAGTTTGGTTCAATTCCATCATTGGTGGAGTTCAGAATGCTCTTTGATTGTAGGTGAACTATAAATCCCAGCAACTACAACTCCCAAATGACAAAATCATAATTTTTGATTGATGGTCACTCCTTGTGTTGTGAGACATTTTGTTGCCAAATTTGGTGTGATTTCGTTCATTTGTTGTTGTTTTTTCGTTTTAAGGTACTCATTATGCACAGAGCATTTATATATAGATAGATACTAGCTGTCCCCTGCCACGCGTTGCTGTGGCCCAGTCTGTTGATCTGGAAAATAAAGAAATGAGAAAGTGTTGGTTTATATTTTTGTAATTTCTTTATGTTTGTGGGTAAACAGTATTTCTTGTTTTTTTGTCAGTGATGTGGAGATTGTCTGGTTTGCCTACTCTGGAACATGCAACATATAATTGTCCTTCAGGGGTCTCTTTCAAATCTATGATACTATATCTCTCTCTGTGTGTGAATCATATCTATCTCTATATATGGTTGGATGGCTCTTTGTCAGGAGGGCTTTGATTACGTTTTCTTGCCCTGGTGAAGGGAGTTGGACTGGATGGCCTTGAGTATTTTCTGTTGGTTATGGGGGTTCTGTGTGGGAAGTTTGGCCCAATTCTGTCATTGGTGGGGTTCAGAACGCTCTTTGATTGTAGGTGAACTATAAGTCCCAGTAACTACAACTCCCAAATGGCAAGGTCTATTTCCCCCAAACTCCATCTGTGTTTCTATTTGGGCATATGGAATATTCGTGCCAAGTTTGGTCTAGATCCATCATTGTTTGAGTCCACAGTGCTCTCTGGATGTAGGTGAACTACAACTCCAAAACTCAAGGACAGTTCTCACCAAACCCTTCCAGTATTTTCTGTTGGTCATGGGAGTTCTGTGTACCAAGTTTGGTTCAATTCTATCGTTGATGGAGTTCAGAATGCTCTTTGATTGTAGGTGAACTATAAATCCCAGCAACTACAACTCCCAAATGACAAAATCATAATTTTTGAGTGATGGTCACTCCTTGTGTTGTGAGACATTTTGTTGCCAAATTTGGTGTGATTTCATTCATTGGTTTTTTTGTTTTTAAGGTACTCATTATGCACAGAGCGTTTTTATATATATAGATATGTCCCATATTGAATTTTGGCCAAGATGTTAAGCTTCAGCTAACAATTTCTCTCCTCTCTTCAGAACTGTGACCTGTCTGGTTGTGATCTACAAGAAGCCAACTTGAGAGGCTCCAACGTGAAAGGGGCCATATTTGAAGAGATGCTGACACCACTTCACATGTCTCAGAGTGTCAGATAGGTGCAGAGAGGAACAGGAACCCTCCTGTCGGCCCTCCTTTCTCTTTATTGTAGGCCCAACTCTTTTGCCAGGACTTGCGCTTCTAAGGAACTACCTCTATGGTGCGGGCTTGGGGAAATCCCACTTATAGTAATAGGAATAGCCGCTGAACCATATTTAGAAAGCTAGTGGAGCTTTGGACTCGGAACTGTCGCTATTCTTGATGGATACATCAACTCTTCCGCACCACCTCACTCCAGAATGCATCTTCTGCTTTGGATATTATTATTATTATTATTACTATTATTATTTATAAAAGCACAATATATGCAATTTATATTTATTAAATGTCTAGTTGCAACATAGGTCTTTTTAAAGTGGGAAGTTCCTACTGTGCCTATTGGCAAAAGTTTGCATTGTTTTGTTCATTTTGACATACTAAATTGAAAGGAAGGTTGGAGTGTACTCATCAGATCTTTCCAAAGAGGAAAAATAGTCACCACAAGTCATCACTGAGTTGTGTGTTTTCCGGGCTGTATGGCCATGTTCCAGAAGCATTCTCTCCTGATGTTTTGCCTGCATCTATGACAGGCATCCTCAGAGGTTGTGAGGTCTTTTGGAAAGTAGGCAAATGGGATATATCTATCTATTCGGCATGTTCAATCCATGGCTCTAAATCAGGGGTCCTCAAACCTTTTAAACAGAGGGCCAGGTCACAGTCCCTCAAACTGTTGGAGGGCCGGATTATAATTTGAAAAAAATGAATAATTCCTATGCACACTGCACATATCTTATTTGTGGTACAAAACCACTTAAAAACAATACAATAATTAAAGTGAAGAACAATTTTAGCAAATATAAACTTATTAGTATTTCAATGGGAAGTGTGGGCCTTCTTTTGGCGGATGAGATAGGATTGTTGTTGTTGTGTGCTTTCAAGTCAATTCAGACTTAGGCTGACCCTAAGTGAGGGCCAGGTAGAAGACCTTGGAGGGCCGCATCCGGCCCCCGGGCCTTAGTTTGAGGACCCCTGCTCTAAATGGTTCTAAAGTACTTACAAAACTAAAGTTTTGGTGGTGAAAATTTCAGAACTCCAACAAGACGTTCAAAATTTCATTATAAATGGCAGTTCCTAATTGGTTCTGGGGGGCTGAGTTTCGGGGGGGGGGCTGAGTCTGAGTGAAAGAGGGTCTAACCTAGCAAACCTTTTGTATCATTACCCCAATACCCCCATGCATATGGGATATATTGAGTATGGTGATCAGATCATGATATGAATAAACATAACAGTTTAAATAATGCACCAGTAAGGCCTTTTCGCGAACCACCATGAGAATTTCAGGGGGGGGGGGCTGAAGCCCCTCAAGCCCCCCCCCCCCCCCCCCCCGGCTACATGCCTGGGTTCTGTCATAAAAATGATCAATAATGAAAGAATAATGAAATTTTGAAAGTTTTGTTAGTGTTCTGAAATTTTCACCACCAGAACTTTAGCAACACTGTAGAAGCAAAGCATCAGCGCCCCCTAGTTTTCACCACCGGAATTTTAGTTTTGTAAATACTTTAGAAACATTTAGAAGCATGGATTGCACATGCCTACTATCTATCTATCTCTATCTGTGGAATGTCCACATCTATGGCAGGCATTCTCAGACCAGGGTTCCAATGGCTCAATCTGGGGAATAAATTCCCTAGTAAGAGATTTATTTTTATTTTTTGTCGTGTCAGGAGCGACTTGAGAAACTGTAAGTCACTTCTGGCGTGAGAGAATTGGCCGTCTGCAAGGACATTGCCCAGGGGATGCCCGGATGTTTTACCATCCTTGTGGGAGGCTTCTCTCATGTCCCCGCATGAGGAGCTGGAGCTTGTAGAGGGAGCTCATCCATGCTCTCCCAGGATTCAAACCTGGCTTAGTCTGGGGAATAAATTCTCTAGTAAGAGATGACTAGCCATATTTGTGGGTTTTTTATTTTCATGTCGGAAGTGACTTGAGAAACTGCAAGTCGCTTCTGGTGTGAGAGAATTGGCCGTCTGCAAGGACATTGCCCAGCGGACGCCCGGATGTTTTGATGTTTTACCATCCTTGTGGGAGGTTTCTCTCATGTCCCCGCATGAGGAGCTGGAGCTGATAGAGGGAGCTCATCCACGCTCTCCCAGGATTCAAGCCTGGCTTAGTCTGGGGAATAAATTCTCTAGTAAGAGATGACTAGCAATATCTGTGGGTGGTTTTTTCATGTTGGAAGTGACTTGAGAAACTGCAAGTCGCTTCTGGTGTGAGAGAATTGGCCGTCTGCAAGGATGTTGCCCAGGGGATGCCAGGATGTTTTTACCATTCTTGCGGGAGGCTTCTCTCATGTCCCCACATGAGGAGCTGGAGCTGATACAGGGAGCTCATCTGTGCTGTCTCCGGATTCGAACCTACAACCTGTTGGTCTTCAGTCCTGCCGGCACAAGGATTTAACCCACTGCGCCACCGGGGGCTCCATACAATTTAATTAGAGCCCACTAAAGCTTGTGCCAAAAAACCAGCAAAACATGACTCTCATGTCCCCGCATGAGGAGCTGGAGCTGATAGAGGGAGCTCATCCGTACTCTCCCTGGATTCGAACCTATGACCTGTCGGTCTTCAGTCCTACTGGCACAAGAGTTTAACCCACTGTGCCACAGCATAAAATACCAATTTCCAACTATTCATTGCAGCAGAAAAAATTGCTTTAGGAAAACGTAGAAAACACTATAATGGAAATCTAAGCAATAGCTAATTCTCAATAGTCTGCAGTCAGAATTGGAACTGTTGTTCCTCCAGCTTGCTCAGTTACTTGTGTCCTTCAACTAGTTCTAGCATCATTAAAGGAAGAATGAGCAGTCCAAAAAACAAACACTCCAGAATTAATGTTCCCAGGTAGCGAAGTTCAATAGACCCTTGACTTTTCGATACATGGATGTTTCAGCCACTCCTGAATTCTGTTCTGCTAATGTGCAAACTCTTCTTCCCACCTGCCCTGATAGGTGTCTTTCTATGGAAGATTTTTTTGGTCAGCAACAACAAATAGGTGCAGCAAGGTCTGCAGAAGCAACTGGGTACCTAATGTTAAATAATATCCTAGAGGAATATTAAGGAGGCCCCAACCTATGCAACTATATGAACTGCTTTATGAAATTGCACTCTTGGATTGATCTGCACAGTTGGCTTCAATAAGTGTGCAGACTTTGCATTTTCAAAACCCCGCTGTACTGTGTCATAGTGAGTAACTGCTAGCTCCAACCCACCTTATGCAGAATTTTCACCTGCCATTGTGAGTGCAAATATTGTTTACCCTTGCAGAACTAACATTCGTTTTCCAAGCGTATTGAGCAATCTTTCAGTCACATTAGTGTCACTCTTTGGGCTTAGAACAGTAAACAATGCTCTAGGGGTGATTCCACCCAAGTTTGGAGCGGGGAGGTTTACCTTATTTAAAGGTGTGCCTTCTTTCAAGGCACCCACACCTCTTTCCTGAGGACGCATTGTGGATTTTCAGGCCTGAAGGAGTCAATGTAGCTCTTTGTCTTACCTTGTTTGTATCAGACAGGTGTAAGGGGCTGTATTAAAGAAGTCTATTTTCTTAGATTACCATGTATAACCTTGTGCATTTCACAGAAGTCGGCTGTCTTGAGTAAAGCCCAGCTCACCTCGTGCATAAGAGACCGGATTCAATGTTACAAAGCAGACTTAATGGGCGTTGTCAGAGAGGGTGGCACACTCACTGCTGTACAACTGCACCAATAAAGAATATTGCATATTTACAAGGAAGTCTTGCCTATGTATTGAGAAAAAGCAGCATGACATGCTTCAAAGTGTGATCAATTGTATAAGAAATTAGAGTTTGACAAAGTAGAGGAGAATATGCCTGCGAAATACTCCAATCTTCTACAGTGTGATGGTGACAACCAGAAATGGAGGTTGAGACATCACACCTCCATGTTTTTCTTCAGCCACCTTTGTCTCTTTATACCAGGGGTCCTCAAACTACGGCCCGCGGGCCACTTCCGGCCCGCCAAGGACACTTATCCGGCCCGCAGAGGAGCACCCCCCCCACAGTGCCCCTCCCTTGGCAGGCTCACGCTGCCCATCAGGCCCGATGGGCAGTGTGAGCCAGCCAAGGGCAGCTGCTCCGCGTGGCCTACTCGCACATAGAGCACCTTGCAAGGTGCTTTATGCGCGAGTAGGCTGCACGGTGGTGCTCCTCCCTTGGGAGGCTCACGCTGCCCATCGGGCCCAATAGACAGTGTGAGCCAGCCAAGGCCAGCTGCTCTGCGTGGCCTACTCGCGTGTAGAGCACCTCGCGAGGTGCTTTACACACGAGTAGGCCACCCGGTGCTGCTCCTCCCTTGGCAGGCTCACGCTGCCCATCGGGCCCGAATCCTCGACATGCGAGTGTGGAGATGAGCAAACCACTGACCACCTGCTGCAATGCACCCTGAGCCCTGCTACATGCACAGTGGAGGACTTTCTTGCAGCAACACCAGAAGCACTCCAAGTGGCCAGCTACTGGTCAAAGGACATTTAACCAACTACCAAACTCACAATTTTTGTATTTTGTCTGTTTGTTTGCTTTGTTCTGTTAGAAATGTAATATAATGGACTGGTTGCTCTGACACGACAAATAAAAAAAATACTCACATTTGTATGTTTTCAAACTGCTACATTGGCAGAAGCTGGGCCTAACAGCGGGAGCTCACCCTGCTCCTACAGATTCAAAAATGCCAACCTTTTGGTCAGCAAGTTCAGCAGCTCAGCCGTTTAACCCACTGCAGCACCAGTAATATTACAGAGTCTTGTAAAAAAAAATATATAAAAAGGGATTTGTCTGTTATTTTGTTAACTGACGTATGTCTATAATCTGTTATTTTAGAACAGCCACGTATCTTTATTAGCACCACCTTTCTGTTTCAACTTGTGCATCGAATGTTTTCACAGCATGGTTTCTCTGCAAAAGGCCCACATCAGTCCTTCCTGGAATGGTGAACAGAATACATCTTTCCATAGATACTCAAATCCTCCTTAAATGTTTTTCACTTTAGAAAATTACTTTAATCCACTAATACTCAGAAGGAGCAGAACAGGAAAGATGAATCATGCCTGCTGTATTTAGTTGTCATATTCCACTTCCTCAAATCCAAATCCTCAAATTGCATATTTGTAGAAAGCCAGAAGTGTTGCACTTTTTCCACTTTGTTTCCACTTCCATATGACTTTGTTGTGGTTGTAGCTGGTCTGAGAGACCTGGTCCAGATTAACATTTAAAGTGCTAGACTTGAAACAAGTAGACTCAAGTTCAAACATTGCTTGGTTGTAAGGTTTACCTTGTGACCATGGGCCAACCTC